AGTGAGAACAGGCTGTGTCTGTCTATTTATTATTTTAAATTACATAAAATGTAATTATTTTAGGATTCTATAAATATCAGTACTGTTGTACAACATTATTAACTCATTCTTCTTAGTCATGTAATATTAAATTTATAGCTGGTGAGCAATCAATCAATCAATCAATAAATAAATAAATAAATCAAGCATACTGATCAGTCACGTCCTGCTGTACTTTAGAATGTGTAGCCTTTTTTTTTTATAGTGGTTTCAATGTTTTGACTCTTTGTACTGGATAATAATGGAGGTATCTCACCCGTCAAGTCTCCTGGCTTTTAGAGCACTTTATTTCAGCCTGTGTGTTCCATCCAGATGTTCTCCAGCTAAAGGGGAAGAGATTTGTTGGCCATTTGTATGCAGCTGTCACAGACAGTGATGAATTAGAGGAAATTCTTAACAAATCCACATTAGGAATCCTTGTGTGTCAGTAAATCCATCAGTATTACTCTGATAATGCCATATCTACAGGATTAAACAAGAAGAGGCCCCAATACTCATGTGTCTATCTTTGTAAGGACCGACTGAAATTATAGAGCTGGGGAGAAGGAACGTTTTTAGAAAGTGAAGACATTTTGGCCACTCCTCATTTTCTGAAACAAAGGGTTGTTTGAGGATTAAAACTTGGTTTTAGGGCTGAGGTTAGGATTAGGTGTGCATTAGGGTTCGGTTAAAGATTGGAATCAGGCATAGTGACAGGGCTTAAGCTAAGTGGCTAGGGAACGCATAATCTGAATAAAGGTTCTCATGAGGATAGATCAACAACAACAAGCAGAAAATCAAAAATATCAACTTGAACATGAAGTTGGAAGTTTAAAATTCTCATTTATTTATTATTTTTTGCTTTTATGTAGGTTTATGGTGAATATGGACGGACAATGCCACCTCCTAGACTGGAACACTTTCCATCAGGGTTTTTGTTAAGCTAAATTCTGCCTGTTGCCTTTGTTGAATAGGTACAGTAGAGACACACAGGAAATATTGGGAAAGAGAAGGGGAATGCAGTCTGAAGTCAATCAATAGATTTTTGGTTGAAGAAGATAAAAACACCATTGCAATGATCCAGGACTAGAAGTGTCGTTCAAAGTGAAGTTAAACTGTATTTTTGGAATATTTACAAGATGACACAAACATTGCAAACACTGTGTGGTGTACTTAGATCAGACCAGATGCAAACATTTCTTGCAACAGGCTTCATGTGATCCAAAAGGAAAACAACAGATGGCAGAATTGTTTTGTCATGGGCTGGGACCCAATGAAAAGTTCCTTCTGTTTTGTCTGAATTCCGTTGACGAAAATTTCTGACACCTAGTTTTTGACATTGCAAAGACAGTCATTAGGAGAGCTCAGGGTTAAAAGATCTAACAGGCTGGTGCATCTGCATATCAGCTGCACTAAAGTGGAAAGGGCACTCTATGTATGAACAAAGTACCCAAGGGGAAGCGTGTATAAAGTAAATAAAATTGGTCCCAAAATTGACCCCTGTGGCACACCATATTTCGGAGGTTAAAATGAAAACACAGAATTAAACCTTATATTAATCAGGTATGATGAAAAGCAGTCTAAAGCTATACCTTATATCCGAATGTCTCAATCAACCTAACAAAATGTTGCGATCAGTCGTGTCAGGTCAGGAGAACAAAGACTGAACACATAACATCGTCGCAGCCATCAAAAGGTCCTTGGTCACTTTAACCAAGCAGCAACAGCACAACGTTGATTTTCCTGTTTTGGCAGGAGTGCGATTAGCTGTGCAAATAAAATCCCCACTCTTTAGAAACAAAACAAACAGAATTAAAAGAAATGATTTTGATTTTCAAGACTTTTTTTTTTTTAACCAGTGCAAGGACGTACACAGCTTGTGTACTAAAGACACACACTTAATGATGCAGTTATGAGGAGTTGTGTAGTTCTAAACACCACTGTTGGCCCCAGACTGTTAGGATCAATGACAACATCAAGATCATACTGATCAACATGTCAGACATGAATAAGCTCTCTAATATCCCCTCTGCTTCTACCTTTTTTTCCCCCTCCTGTACCAGATGAGGACCACACACTGCGGATCCTGCTCTACTCGCTCATCTTCTTCCTGAGTGTTTTCGGGAACCTGCTGATCATCGTGGTGCTTACGGTCAACAAGCGCATGCGCACCGTGACCAACACCTTCCTGTTGTCGCTCGCCGTCAGCGACCTGATGATGGCCATCTTCTGCATGCCCTTCACCCTCATCCCCAGCATCCTCAAGGACTTCATCTTCGGAGCCGCCATGTGCAAGATAGTGTCCTATCTCATGGGTGAGAGGAGGTGGTGTGGTGAGGGGGTTAGTGGAAGTAAAGATGAAAGGTTGAAGTGATGAAAAGACTAGAAAATATCAAATTTGGCAGGTTAAAACAGAATAAAGGGGTTTCTCTATATATTAACCAACAAATCTAGGTCAAAAATTACAAACTTGTTCACTATTATCTCTAAAGACAATCAGTAGAATATCTGTAGTGAACACTAAACACTACTTTTTTACATTTTAGGAAATTAAATATGTTGAATTTACGAGCAGCTGTTTCTATTTCAACAGGTGATCAGTGTGTTTTAAAGATGCTAGCAACATCCATCTATGGAATTGAGCTATCATGGGGTTAAGCCGAATATAATCCATATACAGCCTAATACTGAGGTGTACGTACCCGTCATGAAGGCTGCTGTTAAATCGTCTTTGGGTAGAGCTCTTCTATAGCTGTATCTTCTGTACAATGTGAGTGGTAATCTTTCCCCAGTAACCTTTACTTCATAGCAGAAGCTCTTTCAGTCGAATTTGCTGCGAAATGCCATTTTTATCTGATCAGACTAAATTTTAAGCAGCTCAGTCATCCCTCAATGCTTTGGGGTGAGCACTTATAGACGGGAGGTCAGACGCCTTGTGATGGAGGTTAGCAAGACGTCTACCGATGGGAATGTCAGCCAACATACTGAATGAAAAGGCGAGCAGTTTTTCAGAGAATAATGTTAAAGTTCAAGCTCGTGGCAGAGACGCTAAATGATCAAACCCCACTTGAACGCCTTGAAAGCTACAGAGAATGTGACGCAAGTCTTTTTTACGTGACAGAGACCTCTGGAAGCTCATGATAGGAGATGAAACTCACATTTTAACATAAATGTAGCAGTGACTCATAATCTCCTGGTTATGAAAATGCGTCATATTTTCTTATTGATATATTATCATTAGCACTTACGTCCACCCTGCACGTTAGATTATATTTTAAACTTCATGGCTACGCAAGATGCCAGGCGACTAACTGCTAAATTAACATGCACTGCAGCGAGTCTTAATATGATATTCATGTCATTAAAACATGGAAAGCAGCTTGAACTTTTAGAAACTGCCATGGACATCTTTCACAGTCATTTGATAGAAGGAATGATTCATCAGTAATTAAAATAACCACTTGCGATACTTGTCAAATATTGATATCAAGTGTTGCTTGCTAAACCATGTTCTCCAGGAAAAGCAGAATTTCTGTTTGTCTTGGCACTCACAGAGGCAAAGGTTTCACAAAAGAGGACATTTGGCCACAGCTAGAAAATATAAAAGGTCCTCACTAAGATGTTACTCTTCCTTTAGGTGACTCACCGTGGAGGTTTAACCTGCTATTTTGAACAGAAAAGAGAGAACCAGTTACATTTCAGGCTGATTATCTGGCTAATCCCATATTGCCTTGAGTATCGATTGACTTGCATCCAATAGGAAATGTAAAGGAGACCACAGCGTTGGAGATTCCATTATTTTCCTATTACAATCCAGCGCCATTCAGATGCACCTCCTGCACTGCTTCACCTCACTGAGTTAACCATTATATTACTTAGCCTGACATGTAACAAGCGTTGCAACAAATAGCAATCAGGAAGTTAACAAACTCCCTGGCCTCCCATCCATCACATTACAAAAGGGGTAGATTACTATTGAACAGCTTTACATCCAGAGACCATATTCATTATCTTTCCCCATTGTGGGAGATTTATGGGTGCGGGATGCGTTAAAGTCTTCAGTATTTACGTTAAGTGACCAGGTGGTAATTTTCCTGGTTCACATCAAGGGGGTATTCATTAGTCCGTGTAATGAATTCTCTTCCTTGGTGCTGCACGTATCAATATCTAGAAGTGACTCATCTACTGCATGATCTGTCAACCAAAGTTTTGCTTTTCTTCTGTTAGTAGCCTTCTAGTTTGTGTTTT